GGGCATGCGAAGCCCCCTCGCCCCCCCCACTGAACATCCGCAGTGCGTCGTCGTCCGCAGCTGCCGCCGGCGTGCATGCGCAGCCCCCAGTGTCCCCCCTTCGTAAACCATCTGCAGTGCGTCGTCGTCTGCCGTATTCATCGTCGTCGTAAGAAAGTGTAGTGGACGGGGTGGGCGGGGAACGAAAAGAAGGAACGTTTTCCGCCTGCGTTAGTCGTTTCTCCCGCCTTTGCCCTTTATTTGTTGGTAGCCATGTTGGCACCGCCCGCCAGCTGAAACGCCTCGATCCCCCGCCTTTTCTTTCTCCCCTGTCTGTCGCCATTTTTGCCCCACTGCCCTGCTGTAGCGGAGGCGCTGCTGTCCCCCCCCGCTGACGCGGCGCCGATTGCGTCGCGCATGTCGCCCTCCTGCTGCTGGCCAGGCGTCGGCGCCAATCACTGGCGCCGCCGCCGTGCGTTTCCCATTGGCGGGCGTTTCCCCCGCGATGAACCCGAGCCAGGGGAGCCGTTGTTTCATCACGCGCCCCGTTGGTTTTTGTTAAGCACTTGCCGCCACTACCTGTGCATGCGTTCCCTCTTTGTCACATGCGCACAATCAGTCGTCATCGCCCCGGCGCCCACGTGGGTGCCCGCAGTTTTGTTTGGCGCGCAGCTGATGCGATGCCCGCGCGCGTGCGTGTAAACGTCGTGCCGCCTCCGAACCCCGAGTCGCCCCGTTGGTTTTGCCTCGAACATGTTTGTGCCAGGGGCCCGGCCGCTGGGCCACCCTGCGCTGCGCGTTTCCGCGGGCCTGTTGCGTCCAGCGCGAGGGACAACACGTGGTCGGGACGTGAGAAAAGAGAGAGAGAGAAGGGGAGAGAAGATGAGGCGCGATCGCGCCATATCTGACATCCTACCTCTCTCGCCCATCCTTTCCTATTGTGCGAATTGATCTCCAGCCCCGGCCGCAGGGCATGACCGACCAGGAACTGCCCCACATATTCCCATCGTGTCATGCGCAGGGAGCTGAGCAGGAGCAGATGGACGAGGGTTACGAAGGAGGAGGACCATGAGGACGAACGACAGCAACGCGACTTGGAGCGGAAGGAACGGGATGATCAGGATGACCAAAAGAAGTCGGAAAAGCGGGAAACAGCGATGAGGAACGATTCGCATCCAGGAAAGTATACAGCGCACTGATCCGAACATGAGACCCACGCCTCAGCGGGAACACCAGAGGGTCAATGCATGATGAATGTGACGTTGTTTGGCCCTGGGCCGCGCGGAGCGCCCTCCCCGTCAGGCGATCGCAGGCGTCCGCCCACGCCCGCACGTGAGGGCGCGGGTTGCACGACGAGGCGCTCCGCGGCACCCGACGGCGGCACCCCGCGGCACGGCGGTTTGATCGCCAGCAGCGGTCGAAGAGCGTGCGCTGCCCTTGTCTCGTCGCCCCCTTGTCAGGGGCGACATCCCAAACCCTTCGCTCGGCACTGGCAAGTCCACGGAGCCTGGTATACTCTCTTAAGTCGAACTTGGGCGTCGATTGGCGTCTGGGGTCGATACGACAGCGCTGATTTAGCGTCCACGTAGCGTCGAGTTGCCACCGACCCTTCGAGTCGTGAAGGGAGCACGACGCGAGGCATTTCGCCATGTTCGGTTTCTGGGGGTTCCTTGTCGGCCCATCGGGGCCGTCAGGGCACGGCTCGGGATGAGGAAACGGGTCCCAGGGAGTGCGCCGAGACCTCTCGGGGGTCGAAGAGCGGGCGCTGCCCCCGTCTCGCCTCCCCTTCTCGGCAGCGCGGTCCGAACCTTCTCCTCGCCGGCCAACGCGATGGGCGGCTCGGGCGGGGCTCGGAATGCGTCGAACACGTGGCGAGACCCGAGCTCTGCCCACGCCGCCTCCATTCAGGGGAAGCGATGTTTGATGGGGGTGCCATTCGGATGTCGCTGCCCAGCCCCTTCCGCGGTCGCCGGAGACCCACCCTGGGTCGCCTGTCTGTCGTCGCAACATCGCATAAACGGCATAAGCATACGACGTCGACTCCCCGCGCCCATCTCTCGCATCTGCGCTGGACCCTCGTGGGGGCGCCTCTGGCGCCGGCCCAGCGCAGGTCATTCAAATTCGCGCGGGCCGTCGCAATTGTATGTGTATGCAGTTGTTTCTTCCTCTATGTGTCTAGGCTTCCCAGATAGGGTACGAGTAGATGGGGTCGAAGGATCGCTCTGCATCGTCGATGTATCGGCGATGCGGCTCGTTGTAAATCCTGTTTTGGTTCACGTCGACGTCGCTGATGCATCGCCGACGTCGACGATGCATCCCGACCCGGTCTACTCGGACATCATTTAGGAGGCCTGTAGAAAGAAACCTCGAGCGCCGCCCTGCTGGGGCCGCCAGACCATCGTCATGAAGACATGTTTCGCCTCTCGGCGTCGTTTCTTTTCTCATCATGCAAGAGGCTTACGTCATTCCGCCGACCCTCGACAGAAATCATAGGCAGGGCGAGAAAATGTTGGAGGCACGTTGCAGTCTCTTAGGCTCTTGAAGTGTCTGTCGAGGCATCTTGGGAGCCTTTTGGTGCCTCTTGGGAGCCTCTTGGAAGGCTCTTGGGGCCTCGCGGGGGCGGCTTTGGGACGATCTTGGGAGCCCATTGGACCGTCTTGGACGCTCTCAAGACGCAACATATGCTTATGCTGAAAATGTAGGATCCCCGAAAGGAATTCGTCGATTTTCGCTTCTTGAGGACCTGCCTTTCTGGCGGTCCTCTGGGAGCACTCCTTTGCCGCTTGGGCGCGTCGTGGGCTGTCTCGAAGCCTGTTTAGATCACCGTGGGGCTACCTTGGGCCAACTCGACGCTTTCTAGACTGTCTTGGCGTTTCGTTTGCAAATCCTGACGCGTCTTTGGGCTCTGGAGAGGCTCCGGGTCCCCAGGGGGTTGCGTTTGGGTGTTTTTGCCCCCACGCGCCCCCACCCTCTCGAACGGCATTTTGAACCACTGATGAAGCGGGAAAGGGGGATGGGGGACAACCAATCATCTCACACGCCTGTTAACCGCCGCAAGCAGGGTCGGCCCACTATCATTATGTGTTAGTGTGCTTTCTGATTACTCTACGTTTGTTTGTTATCGTATGTTTCTTATTCTCATGTTCATTTAAATCCCACCTCGGTGTCGTCCCCACAGCGCCCTCTCCCTCCTCCTCCCCGTGCCGCTCCCATCTCGCCCCTCATTTCCCCGCTCGTTTGCCTAATTCCACTCGGCATCGGCTCTCTTCTCTTACCCCTCGTCGTCAATTGGGGAGGAGAGTGATGATGAGGAGGAGGAGGAGGAGAATGTAGACTCGATAGGGCGGCGCACGGCCGCAGCGAACGCGCAAAGAACATTAGGAGGAGTCGGGAGGGTGCAGGAGGGAGTGTATCCCTTCCCTCATCTGTTCGGCACTTTCGCGTTCGCTGATCCTCCGCCACCTCCAGGTCGTCTCGTTCCTCATCCTCGACATCGTCGTCTTCTCTTTTGCTTCCGCTCGCCAGAATCCAGTCTAGCCGGAGTCTAGAGCGATAACGGCTGACTTGCCTCGAGTCCAGGAACATTGGGTAGATTTGGTTTTCGATATCAGTTCGATTGTCCAGTATTGCGATCAATGCCTCGAGTGGGTAAATCCTGGAATCGAAGACATCCGCACTTGCCCATAGAAAAGTGATTGCGATCTGTCGAGGGGGGCAGATTCTATGATACCAGCGATTCTGCGAACATTGTATGACCGCTCATGGACAGGTTGGGTAGAGATGCAGTAGTCGGAGGCACGGACAGAATGTTGAGGCGGGCTTGTGGAATGGTGCGTCTGTGAGCCGATGCCTTGTGGCCGATGCCGTAGGACAACAAAGGTTGCTCGGTGTACAACATCATTCGAGCGGGGGTGGTAACCGCGGAGGGCCATAATGCTGAACCTCCGCCCAAAACAGATGTTCGGCTCGCAGTACTCAATACTCGTCCTCCCCCTCCGCTCCCTCCTCCTCGCTTTCCCTCCTCGCCCCCCCTCCTCGTGCTCCTTTCTCGCCCTTCCCTCGCTTCCCTCTCCTCGTCCTTCCCTTTAATTCTTAGGAGTCCTCGGGAGTCCTAGGTCCGAGGGATCCTGGGCCGAGGAATCCCTAGGAACCCCTAAGCCGCGAGAAGGGGAATGTTGTTTCCAGTATCGCGTCTTGGTTCCAATCCGCCAACAAACCCGCGCAAGATACTATTTAGTTCAGACCCTTTTTGAGTCTTCGAGCGTAATTTAAATTTAAAGGGGAGATGAAGAAAAGGACGCTAGATGGATCCGTTTAGGGCCCCTTTGAAGCCAGCTTGGGATCAAAAGGGTTGCTAAACGGCTCCAGTTACGGCTCTTGTCTTCACCTCCCAATTCAGGTCCCTCCCCAACTATCACCCGCCCGATCAACACGGGGCCGCTTTAGGTCCTCATCTTCCCCTATAGCCTCCACCCGAGAGGCAGCGGTTGTAGTGCGGGCCGCCTGGTCGCACGCAGTCTCGGGGGGGGCTGGGGCGTGCCCTGCCCTTCCCGCAGGTCAGCGCCTGCCTGTGTAGCTAGCTGGTTCTGCCTTTGTCCTCCTCCTCCTCCTCCCCTTCCTCCTCCTCCTCCTCCTCCTCCTCCTCCTCCTCCCCCTCCTCCTCCTCCTCCTCCTCCTCCCCCTCCTCCTCCTCCTCCTCCTCCTCCTCCGCCGTAGCCATGTTTGGCTCAAGAGGGGGGCGCGCCCCCCCCGGTCGGAGGCCTGGCGGCCAGCCGCCGCGCGCCCGCCCACCGGGCCGCCGCGCGCGTCTGGAGCCCGAGCGCGCTCTCCGCGCCAGCCGCAGCCCCAGGCGGCGGCGGCCGCGGGGCGCTTCCCGCAGACGAATCGATATATATATATATATATATATATATATATATATATATATACATATACATATACACACACATACATCTATAACCCTCGTGCTTCCCCCCCTCCCTCCTTCGGCCCATAGCGAGCAGGATGAAATCTGGGGCGTCATGGACGCCTTTCTGAGGTCGGAGATCCAGGTCGCTTTTCAGGAGGTCGTGCTGCCCCAGATCCAGAGCGACCTGCTGGCGCTCAGGGGGGGGATGTCCAGGACACGCGGCGGGACCTGCAGGCGCTCTCCACGAAGAGAGACCCTGGAGCCGCCACGAATCGCAGCCTCTCCCCGAAAGTGCTGGTGGACCACTTCCCCCAGCGCCCCGGCCCTTCGCGAGACACCATCACCAACGGCGACTACGACGCGCCCCACTGGGGGCTGACGTCGGCGGAGCCTTGGAAGCGCTCCTCCGCCTACTGCGAGCTCCCGCGGCCCTCGAGCCGCGGGCGCACCGCTCCGCGAACAAGGCGAGCAGCCTCAGGGCCTTCGTCGCCAGCAACGCCAAGAAGAAGGGCGACGACGACCAGGACGCCGAGGAGCTCTGGCGGCGGCCCCAGGCCGGCGGCGGGAAGCTGCACCTGGCGCCCCCCCACTACGTCAGCGAGAGCGACGAGGACAGCGACGCGGGCGAGAGCGAGGAGGCGGAGGTGAGCGAGGTGCGCCCTCCGGCCCCCCTCGTCGGGCGCCCGACGACCCCGGCCGAGCCGGAGCCGTCGTTGGTCGTGGAGGACCCCAGGGGCAGCTCTGGGCCCGCGGTGCCGCGGCAGGCCCGGCAGGACGGCTCCCTGGCGGCGGCGCCGCGGCGGACCCAGCCGGCGGCGGTGCAGTTCAGTAGCGAGGGGCAGGATCGCAGGAGCCGCGACTCCAGCGAGAGCCAGCAGTCTTCTGGCGGCGGGCGGGCGTCCCTGAGGGAGCGCAGTACTGAGGCGAACAATGATTCTGTTTTCTTCGGGCCCAACGCCAGCGTTCACATCCAGAAGAACCCGAAGATCAGGCGGGGATCCACGAGGGGATCGCGAGGGGCAGGCCAGTCTCTCTACATGGGCCGCGTTTCCATGGCGATCGCGAAGGCCGACGAGAAGAAGCCATCGTTCGCGGAGTGGGCGCGATCTTTGACGAGGCTGGAGACGTACCGCGGCATGTCTGCCGCAGCGATTCTGGGGAGCTTCAGGTTCGACAACATGATCAGTCTCAGGTTAACTTCTTCTCAGGTGGAGGCACTCCAGAGTTAGGGTACTCTACAGACACCATCTGCTTCGTCTCCTCATCTGAGGAACCCCATCACCATCGGCATGGAGGCTGACTACGCGGCTCAGAACGTCACGGACACCGCGCCCATCACGTACCGCGTCTTCGAGGTATTCTTCTGCATCGTGTTCACCACGGAGCTCGTGTTGCGAGTATACGTATACAAGCTTGAGTTCTTCTTGAAGAGAGAGGTGGGAGTGCTCTGGAACTACTTCGACCTTCTGGTCGTCACCGCACAGCTGGTTCAGGAATGCTTCGAGTACATTCAATCCAGCGCCAACGGTAACAATGATGCGGGAAACCTACGCATACTGCGCATCCTCCGGGTCTTGAGGATAGTGCGTATCTTCCGATTGGTGCGCGTCTTGCACCTCATCAGCGAATTTCGCGCGATTGTGAGCTCCATCATCGGATCTTTCCGATCGCTCTGCTGGGCGGTGCTCCTGCTCCTGCTGATGATGTACATCGTCGGCGTGTGGTTTCTCCAAACGGTGACCGACCTTTTCATAACGCGCGCGGCCTTCGACGGCGACGGCGTGCTCATCCCCTTCTCCTCGGGGGAGGAGTCCCTCAAGGGCCACTTCGGCTCGCTCGGCTGGGCGATCCTCTCGCTGTGGCAGGCGCTCTCCGGGGGGCGTCGACTGGAGCGACGTGGGCGACCCGCTGATGAACGAGATCGACTGGTTCCTGGGCCTCGCTTTTGCCGCCTTCATCGCCTTCTCGCTCCTAGCGCTCATGAGCGTCGTCACGGGCGTGTTCGTCCAGACCGCGCTCCACAGCGCCGAGCGAAAGGAGGAGAACTTCCTCACGGACAAGGTCATCGCCCTCTTCCAAAGTGCAGGGCGGACGACATCTGGGGGCGCATCACGACCAAGGACCTCGACGAGAATCTGGAGGACCCTGAGATAGCAAAAGAGTGGAAGAATATCAACGTCAGCGCCGACGAGGCCAAATACGTGTTTGCGCTGTTCGACGTCGAGGAGAGCGGAGAAGTGCAGTTCGAGGAGTTCGTGAGTGCATGTTCGCGCTTGAAGGGCAACGCCAAGTCGCTGGACTTGCCCATCCAGCTGCAGGAGTCTCGACGAACAAAGAAGGTGCTGGAAGATACGCTTGCCAATCTCCATCAGACCATGGAAAACAGATCAGCCACAACGCAAGAGAAAGCCACCCGCGTTTTGCAGACGGTGGCGTTCAAGTTTCCGAAGCCGCTGGACGACCATCTCGGGTTCGCGACGCCATCGGCCTCCGATGAAGAGGTGTGAGGCACCGCGGCTCCTCCTCCACCTCCTACTCCTCGTCAGACGGTCCTGCCTCGTTCGACTCCCTCTCGTTGCTGCGTTGGCGCGTCAACCTGCGGGCACGCTGGCCTTCACTTTTCCCGCGCCGGGCGGTTCCCCAGCGCCGCGTGCCCCGCGGCGCCGCGAGGATGTAGGATCGTTGTATTTCGGCGCGGTGCGTCCTCGGCGCCGCGATCACGCTTGTAGCCGCAGACTGCTCGCCGGCATTTCAGCTGGGCCGTTGCACTGACTCCTCCTCCTCCTCCTCCTCCTCCTCCTCCTCCTCCTCCTCCTCCTCCTCCTCCTCCTCCTCCCCCTCCTCCTCCCCCCCTTTCGACCCCGCGGCCCTGGTGTCCCGATTGGGCCTTGGGGAGGGGGGGCCTTCTCCAAACCTCGATCCACTGCGCACTGCGCACGCCGATCCGCCGCTGAGCACGCTCAGCTTTAATTGAGGTCGCATTGTCACGCTCAACTTCAACTGGGATCGCATGGTGAGTGGCTGGCCCTCCATCGGTCGATGTCTGGCCCTTCTTCTCCTCCGCCTCCGACCCCCTTCGTTCAGGTCGTACCAGCAGCATCTGGCAGTTCGATCGCTCGGATACGCTGGCTGACAAGAGGCGGGCCAGGCGAGTCAGTTTGAAGTGCCATCTCCGGGGGGTCTCCTTCGCATACAGCCCCTCACGGACATGATGCAATAAGCGGGCCGACGTGGCCACGCCCGACACCGCAGCAGCCACGCTGGGCGGCTCCAGATCTGCTTGAGGAGGGTGCCGTTTCGTCTGGATGTTGTGCCCAAAGCAATCCGCCACCCGATGATCAACGACAACTCCTGTCAGGGCCTGCGTTAAGAACACGACTCGACTTCCTTCCACTTGTAAGCGCGTCAACGCGCGTTTGCGCCAAGATCCTGGAGTCGAGGGTAAATCCGTTCCAGAGCGTTCCAGAACGCCCTGAGAGAGTGCTGGAACGCGCTGAGGAGGACGCGGCGCCCATACATCTTCCCAAACCGCTGGATTTCAGAGACTGCCGGTTCATCCTCATCCGATCCTCGTCATGGCTTCGCCTTGTGTTATCAGCGCATATGCGCCATGTGCCCATCCCACAGCTCTCGTGCAGGGCGGCGGCCTCCCGGCCCGCGCGCGCCCAAGCCCGCGCCCGCCCAGGAGCCTCCGGCGCCCCCGCCGCAGCCCGCGGCCTCGCCCGACCCGCAGCCCGCTCCGGCGGTGGCGCCTCAGCCGGAGCCGGCGCCTGCACAGGGCCCGGCGGCGGCGGCGGCCCCGGCACCGACGGCCCCGGTGCTGACCGCGAAGGCTCGGCGGCGAGCCCATGGGGGGAAGTGAGGGGGGCAAGCGTGTTTCGCGAAGGCTCGGGGATCCCCCGGCCCCTGTGAGAAGCTTCCTGTCGAGGACTGAGGCCATTCCTCAGAAGGCGCGAGGGCGTCCGGGAAGCCCCGCCGCCTTCGGAGCAGTTCTCACTTCCCCCCGCTCGCTCGCCGCTGGAAGGCGTCGGTCGAGGCGGCGCCCACCCCAGAGGCAGCTGCGCGGGCGGCGGCGGCGCCGGTCCTCCGAGGAGGAAACGGCCGGGTGCTCGCAGGCGATCTCTGTCGACCCCAATATCTGGACGCCCGAAATCGGTACGGAAAGAATGGGTACAATGCCCAACAGCGGCCTGTGTCCATTCGAGACAGAAGGCCGCCCGCCCAACAGCGGCCGCTGTTGGTTTGGGACAACAGTTGTTGTTGGGCATTGTACCCTTTCTTTCCGTACCAATTTCGGGCGTCCAAACAATATCCCCGAGGTCCGCCCGCAAGGTGTGGCCGCTCAGGCACGGGGGGGAGCTCCTGGGACGGACCCCCAGGGGGCTATTCTAAAGTCGGGCATGTCCCTCTACAGGAAGAGTGTTCAAGCATAGTAGAACACAGTCTGGGAACGATCATTCCATGTCCATTTTTTACGGAAAAGTAGTGATCATGTTTTGTTGATTCTACTTTTCGTCCAAAATCCGCCTGTAGGAGAGCATGCCCGACCGAAGGCTACTCGAACGCACCCGTATCGAGATGCACGCCCCCCCCCCCTCCCTATCGAGTATCCCTGGGTTGGTGCCAAAATTGCTGGGGGATTTCGGGGTCGCCATGTCCTCCTGTAGGTGCAGAGGCTCGTGTCGCGGCGACGCGGAGACGACCCCTCCGCGGGCATTCAGGGTTGAATCGAAAACGAAGAATTGCATGATCTAAATTTCTCCGAGTTCCGCACACATTTTATTGTATCGGCGCTAGGCCACCCCTCCCTGGCGGACCTCTGACAGTTAGTGTGTCATGCCGCTTTTGCTTCCTCCAGTCCTCCAGTTCAAGGATGAACCCCACTCTCATCCATTGCGATACTATCTGGCGTTCTGAAAGCCGCCTGCCTCAAGGTGAACGATCCGCACAGTGTCAGAAGCCAACCTCCTCCTCCTCCGCCTCCTCCTCCTCGCCGACGACAGGGTCGTGACGACACGATCTCGCCTTATACATACGGCTGCTCGTCCTCGAGTGCCCTGGCCCCCGGGGATCGGGGTGCTGCATTTTTTGTCCGCTCTGGGCGCTTTGTTGCCTGGCTTCGGGCCCCAGGGCCAGAAACATGCAGCAGAAAGCTGTTGTCCAGGTCACTGGTCTAGTTCTTGGTGTTCAGTGTTGCTATTCTTCCGACGTCCAATCTCGGGGAAGATCTCTCTACCGTTAGGTCGGGCATGTCGTCCTACAGGCGGACTTTGAACGAAACAGAACGTATGTTCAGAACAATTCATATAGTCAAACATAGTCAAAACATCGTCCCATATCATTTGTTGCCTACTTTTGAATATTCCTCCTGTACAGGGGCGTGCCCGACTGATCTCTACCGCTCGTCCTGGAGAGCCCTGGTCTCAGCGGCGCCCCCGGGGCGGTGGCGTGAGAGGGGCGGCCTTCCAAGATGGCGGAGGGGCTTCCTCACAGAAGGCGGGGGCCTCAGAAGGGCCCTGTAGGCTTCCGAGAAGGCTCCTGTGAGACCTGGCGGGCGTCTTGGAGGCCTCCCTGCCAGCTCGGAAGATCCGCCACCCCCTTAAGGAGCCCGCCTCCCTCGCGCCACCCCCTCCTGTGGGGCGCGGCCAGGCGAATGAAAGTACACCCTAGGCGATGCTTAAGAAAACTTAAGTCTTCGGCCAGAGTCTCGATTATTCTTAACTTTTGAATGTAAATCCCAAGATGTTGATAGAAATTCTGGGTTTTATTCAATGTCTGAGACTATGAATTTCTTAACCCATGATTTCTTAAGCATTTCGCAGGGTGTACACACGTACATGAATCCGCGCTGGGTTACGAACATACGCGTTGAGCGACGGGTTGGATCACGCGGCCGGTCTCGCGGATTGAGCGGCCGTGCTCAGGTACGGTCGGACCAGGGTCTAAGATCGAGGTCGCTGCGGGGAGGGTACCTGCGAACACGGACCCCTGAGGGCCCCTCATTAGACCCCTCCGAGGCCTGAGCCCATGCGGGCCCGTCTGTTGCCGTAACCACTGTTATGGTTCGATAGGCCCCCTCCGCGCGGACGCCCGGGCGCCCTCGACCGCTATCAGCAGGGGGCAAGAAGAGCATCATCCTCTCCTCCTCGAGCTCGACTCCTCTCGCGACCCCAGGACGGATTCGCAGTGGCTTGAGCCAATAGCAGCGAGAAGTGAGGAGCACGTGACTGGGCAGGAGCCCGTCACACGGTGACGATGGCGGACCAAGGAGGAGGTGCTGCCAACGTGAAGCGGTTCAGCGGGGACGGCAACGACGGAGCGGCGGCCTACAAAGTGTGGAAGCGATGGGCATAGGCGGCGATCGTGGTCCAGAAGGCTCGGGGCACTCCAGCAGAGGCTCTGGGCCCGTGGCTGTACACGCTGCTGGACGGCCAGGCGGCGCTGGCAGTAGAGAGCGTGGACTTGGCGGACATCAACGTGGACACCGGTGAGGAGGTGGTGTTCGCTCGATTAGACGAGCGGTTTCCAGAGAAGGTGGCGGCGGATCGTCTCGGAGAGGCGATGGAGGAAGGTTTCAGCCTGCGCATCCAGAAGCAGGAGACGACGGAGGCCTACACCGGGCGCGCGCAGTTGGTGTACGCGCAGCTGGCCAAGGAAGGTGTGGACTTGCCATGGGTCGCTCGAGGCTACCTGATTCTACGAGGCGCTCGGCTGGGCCATTTCGGCCGTGCGACGGTGATGTCGGCGACCCATCGGAGCTGGAACGTGGACGAGGTTTGCACGGCGATCAGGACGGCGTTCCCAGGAGTTCCACCAGAGAGGCTCACGCAGATGGCGTTCGCGGTGGAGGAGGAGCACGGGGACACCGAGGTCGGCCCACCGCCCGAGCCCTACCAGGAGGAGGGCGCGGAGGACGACATCACCGACGAGATAGACGCGATCGTCCAGGCGGCGGAGCCGATCGACGAGGCGGACGCGGTAGAGATCCTGGCAACGTGGAAGCAGACACGCACGGCCATGACCAAGGAGAAGTTGGACCGCGGGCTCAGGCCTCCGTGGAAAGCACGACCAGGACAGGGAGGTCATGGTGGACCAACCCGGCACGACCTCGACAAGCTCGGCCGTAGGGTGAAGTGCTTCAGGTGCAAGAAGATCGGCCACTTCAGCAGGGACTGCAAGGAGGCCCTCCCGGCCCACAGCTCGCAGATGGTGATCGTCGAGCCGATGGACGGGGAGGACCCGGACGAAGCACGAGTCCAGGCAGTACTGGGAGCAGCTCGGGACGACGAGATCAACAGCATGGACTCGGACGACGAGATCAACAGCATCCTGAAGGTCCACGAGGACAACGTGCTGGCGAGGCTCATCCAGCAGGAGCGCTGGAAGCGGCTGGCGCACGAGATGAAGGAGCAGCAGGAGGACGAGAACGCGTCGCCCGAGAAGAGGGCCACCGAGGAGGGGACGGTCCTGGGAGTGACGCACACCGACGGATGTTCGGTGCCAGACACCGGGCGCTGCAAGTCCCTGATCGGCGAAGAGACGTTGACCAAGCACGAGGCGGCGACCGGCAGACAGGCGAGGTGGTTGAAGGATGCCAAGCCGATGCGGTTTCGCGGGTTCGACAGCAGCGTGCAGGAGTCGATCGGTGCAGTGGGGCTGGACTGGGAGATCAAGAACTACATCGTGACTTTCGTGGTGTACGTGGTCCCGGGCTCTGCAGGCTTCCTGCTGAGCAAGCCAGACATGAAGGCTCTGGGCGCGGCCATGGACCTGGAGACGGACTCGTTGTACTTGAAGCGCCTTGACCTCACGATGCCCATGAGCGAGACGGTGGCGGGCCACTACGAGATCGACTTCCTGAACCGGGAGAAGAAGGCGAAGAGGCAGGTGCACGCGTCATCAGTGCGCGTGCGGGACGTGCTCAAGAACGTGGAGAGTCCACCCGCACTGACTTTTCAGTAGGGCCGGGTCGGAGCCCACAGGCCAGGATAATGGTGCCCGAGCTGTTCTCCCCACTTCGTATCGTGCCAGTAGTGGCGCGGTACGGGTTCCTGGAAGGTCAGAGTCTCGACAAGGTGCGCGGCTGGGACGTGGACAAGGATGACGACTACGATGCCATGTGGCGGCACATCGTCGAGGACGAGCCGTACTTCGTGCACATGTGCCCTCCGTGCCGGAAGTTGTCGATCATGCAGCAGTGCGCGCCTTTGGATCGCCGGAAGGATCTGGCACAGCATTTCAGAGATGTGAAGTGGTCGGTGAACTTGGTGCATGTGGTCGTGGAGGTCGCGATCTACCAGATGGAGCGGGGCAGGCATTTTGTCTATGAGACCCCCCCGAGGTGCGCGAGCCTCCAGGTGCCGGTGATGAAGCAGCTCCTGCAGACCCAGGGCGTGTACGTGGGCATAGCGAGCGGCTGCGAGTTCGGGCTGAGGTGCCCAGACACCCTGAAGTTGATGCCCAAGAGCTGGGAGTTCGTGACGTCTGCGCCGGAGGTAGCGAGAGCAGTTCACCAACGGTGCGGAGGAGGACACGAGCATCAACATACAGAAGGCATGCTGAAGTGTGGGATCAAGCGCACGGTGTTCAGCCAACGGTACCCCCAAGAGATTGGCGGAGGCGATCGTGCGGGGCATGCGACGACAGTGTCAGGTGGAGGCGTTCAGCTCGGAGGCCGGGTGCAAGGCAGTGCATGGAGAAGAAGAGGACGCAGATGAAACACGAGATGTACTACGTCGGCCTCACAGCTCGATCGAGAACAGCCTCAGGAAGTTGCACGTGCAACTCGGCCACTGCAAGAACAACGTGCTGATCAGACATCTACGACACGCACGCGCCACGGAGCAGGCGATCAAGGCGGCCAATGATTTTTATTGTCCAGAATGCGAAGGCATGAAGTGCCCCAAGGTTGCTCGACGCAGTACACCAGCGGAGGCTCATCTCCCTTTGAAGTACGTGAGCATGGACTGCAAGGACTTGCCGAGCTGGATCCCGGGCGAACGGATCACCTGTTTGGGCATCATCGACGAGACGAGCTCCCTGCACCAGGTGGAGCCGATGATCGGCATGGCGGAGACGTCGAAGAACCTCATGGACGCGTTCGAGCGGGCGTGGATTCGCCCCTACCTCCGTCCGAAGTGGCTGAAGGTAGACCCCCACCGGGCGCAGATCAGCGACGAGTTCCTCAACTGGTGCGAGCGGCAGGAGAACGAGGTGGTGGACACAGCAGGTGGAGCGAAGGAGCAGAACGGCAAGATCGAGCACCACAACCAGTTGTTCGAGATCATGCTGGAGGACGTCATCCGCGAGGCGCAGCCCCAGACGGAGACGGAGTGGCGCGAGTGTGTCGCGGAGCTGGTGATGGCAAAGAACAGTCTCCTCTCGGTGACCGGGGTGTCCCCGATGCAGATGGTCTTCGGCCGCAACCCTGAGATCCCAGGCGACCTCTTGAAGGACAACCCCGACCTGATCACCAACAGCGCCATCGTGAACGATCCGATCGCGGCGCAGCAGGCACGGACCAGGACGGTCACGCGCATGAAGGTTCTCATGCAGCAGGACAAGCTGGCAACTCGACGGGCTCTGGACTCGCGGCCCAGAGTCGTGGCTAAGTATCTGCCAGGAGACATGGTGGCAGTGTGGCGCATGATGAAGAACAAGGGCATCCCGGGTAAGCGAGCCCACCACCGGTGGCGACCTGGTATCTGCATTGGCGAGGTGCGCGGCA